GATTTGCGGCTCTGCGGGACTTAAGGCAGTGATAAGGCGCCTTAAAAACGTTTGAGAATCCGAAGCTGTCCGAGATAAGGCGCCTTTGACGGGCCTTAACTTAGGGCGCCGCAGGACAAGGCTCTTTTGAGAATCCGGCCCCTGATGCCGGTGGTGAGAATAGCCTCCTTTTCCGGGACTTTTGCGATTTCCCAGAAATTGAGGATTTCTGGCTCCTGGTACGAGCACCAGACCAACATCGTTGGACGTGGTACAGCGATTCGGATAATGCAGCCAAGGAGATCGACAACGTATTCGTTAGCACTCGCAGGATCCTCTTGAACTGCAGGGTGTATAGGAGTGCCGAGTTATGTACTGACCATAGATTGATTGTGGCTACCCTCAAGGTCCGCTTCAAAAACCCCCAGCAGTCCAAAGATCACCCTGGGGTGTTTCACTTAAACAGCCAAGGGAGGGGGAGTGTGCCCGGGGTTTGCTGAGGCAGTCTCTGGTCGTTTCACAGTGCTCGACAATCTGATGGACCCTGTATTCTGTGGGACACCTTCAAGCGTGAAACGCTTGATGCAGCTCAAGAAACAATAGGTGAACACCCGAGAGCAAGACACACTTTCATCTCGCAGGAGACACTGGATCCATAGATGTTTGTTGTGTGGCTCGTCTGACAGGGAATCGGGATTTACACCGTTCTCAGGTCACTGTTAAGGACAAGAAACAGTTTATTAGGAATCTTGCAGGAGGTAGAAGGCGATTTCTTAGTAAATGACCTTCGTCCTGCATACCAAGCCCTGAGAAAGCTGAACTCCAAGCCCTCTTCACAAGTGGACAGCAGTTTGCTAAGTGGCCAGATCGTCTCAGATTCTGTTGTGGTGCGGAGCGCTGGCCGAGCATTTTGAACAGTTGTACCAGGTTCACCCACCAACAGTTAACTTGATGCGGGTAGTGCCCTAACTGAAGTTAGGTGGGCAATCTTCAAACTGACGAGTGGTCAAGCAGCTGGTATTTGCGGCATCCTAGCTGAACTGTTAAAGGCTGGTATGAATCCATGGCGCAGGGTCACATGCTGTCCAGGGCCGGATTCTCAAAAGAGCCTTAAGTTAAGGCGCGCTGGAGGCCTTAACCGTCCTGCGGCGACCTAAGTTAAGGCCCGTCAAAGGCGCTGTATCTCGGACTTAGCTTCGTATGCACAAACTTTTTTAAGGTGCCTTATCACTGCCTTAAGTCCCGCAGAGCCGCAAATCACTTAAGGCGTCAGATCTTCGGTAGCCAATCACAGCTGCCGTTTCAGGTGGCTCTTAGGGTATCTTGACCAATCACAAGCCGTAAATGCCAATCACCTGATTTCGTAAACACAACGCTGTGTCCAGTCCGTGGCATGATAAAACTTTTCAACAAAATTGGTATTATTGAAAATGCAACCCCACACCTAAATTAAAGAATCTCAGCTTACCCAGTGGTACAACACATCATTCTAAGAATTTGCCTCTGTACCATTTTCTGCGCAAATTGATAACGGTGTTACAGAGGGTATAAAATGCACAATTTTCAGGAGCCGCAGTAAGCTTACGCCTCCAACGCCGCGACAAATGGCAAAAAGTAGTTAAGAGTGACGGAAAATCAGACGGATTTGTAGCGGATGACGTAGGCAAGGGAAATCATGTGAGCCAATCAGATTCGCGTGTGAACGTGTGAACATAGACACTCAGTAGAACCAAACAGATATGTAATAGGTCATCACGTGCAAAAGAAATGTCAATATACTATGCTTGCTAGTATTCTAATGTTCTCTCGAAATTACCCCCCAAATTAACTGATATGCATCATGCCCTCCCCAGCTATCGGGACTTGTTAGGTAAACCTGTTCTGTCGGTATGTGGCGAGGACTTTGAAGTCACAGAGAGCTTTACATACCTTGGTAGTGTAGGTCATAACTCTGGGTAGCAGATGGATTAGCCTGGCAGCAGGGGTCATGAACTCTCTCGACAAGAGTATTTAGAGATGCCAGTACCTGTGCAGGACCAAGCTATGTGTCTTCAAAGTCCTGATAATGCCAGTTTTGCTATACGGTAGTGAAACTGGACATTAACCTGTGCCTTGGAGTCTCTTCTTGATGCCATTTGTAATAGGTCCTTGTGCCGGATCATGGGGTATTTTTGGCGGGACCATGTGTCCAACCAACCAGTTGCACTATGAGACTGGCACAGGACCTATTTCCTGCACAGTCTGTGATCGCCAACTCGCTTCCTCAGGATGATCTTGCCCACCAGGTTGTCTTTTTTCAAGACAGCCCTGGGTGGAGGAAGCCTGTGGGTTATGCAGATCAATCAAACCTGTCGTGAGGAGCTCAAGATGGGCCGAGTCCCTGCTTGGCGGCTTGCCATGAGGGACCCTTGTAGGTATAAACAAAGGGTGGATGCGGCTATGCGCCCCCGTCGGCATCATCTCCATGATAATTGTATGCATACGCACCTTGAGTATCCTTGGAAATTTAACCCTTCTGCACCATTTTACCCCCTTTTCAGACAGGGCGCGTTATCATTTACCAAAGCAATTTGGACCATGGTGGAATCGCGCATTTGATCCACTTCTTTCAAAGCCAGTACAAATGTTGAAGAGGCAGCAGGTATTTGGCTGTTGCATTACCGCTTGAATCTGCGCAAACAGCGACAAAGACGACGTCGGATTCAACCAGTTCTACACGAAAGACTTACCCACGTCATGTTTACAACATTGCATTCCTTTTTTGAGAGGGCATAGCAATTACTTAGGAATGTCAGTGGAACCGACTTGCTGGAACGAATCAAGGAGACATACCTTCATGATGGATTCCATCAGCCAGAACAGAAACCTGTCATATCATTAAGGTATTCCTCTATTGATGCAATTCTGATTATATAATAAACCAAACACAATATGGAATTCAAGGCTCCACATGACAATGGTGGATGCAAACAAAGGAACATTTTGACATACATTCCATTGATTCCATTGACTAATCACTGGGATCAGTCCACGTGGTGGTCAGGGTTGCCATGGTAACGCACAGTCTCTTCTCTGCAATTATGGTGCCCGCTGTCCTCAAAACGCGCGGTTTACCGCTCTGTGTGAAAGTTGCCACTGAAAATGCGATGGCTCGTTTCTAATCGCGCGGTAGCTACGCCTCTGTGAACAGGCGCGTGTAGATAAACCAGAGGATGGCTAATATGAATTTCCTTGCAGGTCCCGGAGGAGTCTCCGTGTGCTGAGTGCCGCAACTCGAGGCTTCTGCCCGCGCTGCTGGCCGAGGGGTGGTCGCGGCCGGCCGACTGCGGCAACGCTCCATCGCCGCCACCCTGGCTTCACCGCGAAGCTCGCAGTGTAAGGATTTCTTTCTTTTATAGTAATGGAACTCCTACTTTATATTTTCTTTTTTATCAGTCGATTTTTCATTATATACAATTTGTCAGAAATTGTTATTTTAGGACATATATTTTACACCAATCTACAAGTAATTATAGCTCATTTTGTTCCATTTACATCTGGCAACACAGAATTAACAGAATTTTATTTTTCATCAAAAAAATTAAACAAAACTTTCTTAAGCCACGTCGCCTAATTCTCTCTTTTAGTCGGGGCCACAAATAACAATTAACGTTTTTATCTCAGAATTGAACCCTTCTTGATTACCGTAGCTTTAAATTATTACAATGCCTTAAAAACATAACCAAACAGTCGCCTGCAGTCATACACAGTCTCAGACAGCGTACGACCGGAGTGGATTGGAGTATGAGGTTAATGAGATGCAAATTTCAGATCAAAGCTTTGAAGCGTAACCATGTAAAATACATTTATGAAAAATGACCTCACATAGAAAATATTTGGATAATTTTGCAATAGAGAGTAATTAAACATCGTTTTTCCTACTGTACTGTAATCAACTGACTTTCCTAATTTATTGGAAAAGCTGTGTCTAGGGAGATAGTGGGAAAATAGCGAGAGCAAGCAAGAAAGTGACAAAGCAAATGCTTTTGTGTGTGTGTGTGTGTTGTGTGTGTGTTGTGTGTGTGTGTGTGTGTGTTGTGTGTGTGTGTGTGTGTGTGTGTGTGTGTGTGTGTGTGTGTGAGTGAGTGAGTGAGTGAGTGAGGCGCGCGGGGCGTGCGGGCGTGCAAGCGTGTTTGTCAGCCTTACTTTTCGACTCGACTCGGATATTCTGATCTGAGTTGCGCTAACGAGCAAATTACCTAATCGTCAGACTGTTAGGTTGTTATCATAGATTGAAAATATTTCACATAAAAAAAGAAAAAAATCAAACACGGACATGAATATTTATGGCAAAAGATTAGGTTTTGTCAAATACTAAATAATTGGCTAAATGACCAAGTGGAGCATAAGGCATACTTCTTAGATGGGTGTAAATCTGGGGGAGAATTTCCCTTTACAAAAAGCAATTTTTTTTTTTCTCCAAGTCTGTCAACCATCAAACGCTTGTTAAATATTATTTTGTTCGTTACCATGTGTATGAGTATGTGCGTGTTACTGTGCTCAGAAAAGTGTGCACAGTATCTCTTATGTTGACGTAAAAACATTTATAACACAATCTACTTCTCTTCACTGATAACAACCCTTCCCTACTCATGTTAATACACACATAGACATATACACACACACACGCACACGCACACGCACACGCACACGCACTCACTCACTCACTCACTCACTCACTCACTCACTCACTCACTCACTCACTCACTCACTCACTCTCACTCACTCACTCACTCACTCACTCACTCACTCACCACTCACTCACTCACTCACTCACACACACACACACACACACACACACACACACACACACACACACACACACACACACACACACACACACACACACACACACACACACACACACACACACACGCACACACACAAGTTTACTATAATTTCATGGTTAAATTAAGTGGTTATCTCACGTAGCACATAGTTTGGCAACGACCACGAAGGCACGACCCCCAGCTACTCCCAATACCTATATCTAAGCAATACAAATTAGGTTATTTATAAGCAGTGTTGGTTATAAATTTATGTAAATAACAAACGTGAAGGTGTTTCCACTGTCACCAAAAATTGCTGTACTAGATATGAGTCCATGCACCTGTATGTAGAGGACATACCCATATGTCTATTCTTGGTGGTGCTTTGTTGGTGCATCATTAAGTACATTGTAAAGCGTTTGAAGCAGGGAGCGCATGGGCAAGAATTCTTGCCGATAGGCCAAGCGCTGTACCGTTCCTACTTAAAACGCCTTAATAAGGATTCCATCCCACGACTGGCTGATTCATGCCTCGTACTCTGTCATATTATTTTTTCTCATGATTTGGTCATTGCAGACTTGTAGACTTGACACTTCTTCGACAGAGGTCAAGCTGTCTTCCATCGCTACTTCCTGAGCATCTTCGTAAGCAATTTGGTTGGGCTGCTTTGCCTGCTCGCCATAGAGACAATCGTAAAAGTGCTGGCCTTCACAGGACGTTCTTACGTGCCATCCTCTTCCTACAGGCGATATTTGAGCACGATAAACCATCTCAGACAGTGGTATTCTTCGGATATCTTTCTAAAAGAATCAAGGTTAATGCAGACTTGTTTATTATGTCTTTTCATTGGATATAAAGATTAATTAGTTATTGCTGATATTCGGAAAAGTTAACCAAGGGCCCCCCCGAAAAGTAATGTACATGAATTCCCTGACCTGTATTATTGCAGCATTAAAAAAAAAAATAATGATTTGCCAGGAAACGTAAATGTTATTCTCCAAGGGCAAAACATTTCAGTCAAACATGGAGCACCTCTAATGAGTGCTATTTTCCAAATTTTGATATTTGTGTTGTATTTGTTGTTGTATATCTATTTGAGACCTTTTTCTGATTATCACAGTCTGTACGAAAAAGCTTAAAAGAAAAATAATAGCTAAATACTTACCTAACAAACAAAATTTTGAGGCCAAGTAGAATTGTTGATACATTGCCAATATAATAACAAAAAACTAATTATGAAAATAGTTTCATTGCAATATAGTACATGTCTGATAACTGCTTCAGGTTCATATAAATGAAATTATTCACTTATGCTACAAGTAATAACAAAATTAATGTTTGTATACCAGTTCACAAGGACACGAACTGCAATATATTTCATTGGAAAGGATTTGGGTATTCTTGATTTATTATCTAAAATAAAAAATTAATTCTAACAACTTTTATTTTTCTCTAAGCTGAGTGAAACATTGAATGATTTTTATTATATTTCAGTGCCTACAAGTCCATTCAACTAGTTCGACGAATGCACACATCATCTCATCTTGAAGCTCAAAAGTCTCAGTTTTCATTTCCCAAGTAGACATGGTGGTTACACAGTGGGCGTTTTTTGGCCTGTCCTGACACAGGGTTCCCAATTTGGTGTCAGGCTTACCAGAGAGGAGGAAGATGGACTTACCCACTTGTGGAGGATCATAGGATACCTTTTAGGAATTGAGGAGAAGTATATTTTTTTTCTCTCTCTTTTTTACATTCCAACATTCCATAATTATGTGAATACGGTAACAAAGATTTATATAAGGATTTAAAAAAACTGAATTTTAATGTCCAATTGTCAAGCATGATCATTGATCACAGATTCTAAGAAGAACAAAACAAATTTCAAAATGATTAAATTGTTTGAGTTAAGACAGTAAACTAGTTGCATACAAGTTATATAAATGTTTTTTTTATCATATTTTCCTTTTTAGAAAATTAGTTTTCCATAGTTATCATCCAATAGGTAGGCTTCAGTAGAACAATAGTGAACACACTGTATTATATCAAAATCTTAGATAACATTAGTGGTAGTTTTAGACTGCTATTTACTTTCTTACTTGGAAACAGTTTTAATAGCTTAGGCCTAGCTCATATGGCATTAGTCTCCATAAGAAAAAAATTGTCAGTGATATTAATCTTTTGATTCTGTATTTGTGGTACTTTGTAAGTGCTTTGCAAAATATATCTTGACTAGAAACAGACAAGAATTGCTTGGTTTATTGCAACCCATCTCCATTCTATCAGTCTCAGACTTTTCCTTGGCAACTGTACAGGTCTTTGGAAGCTTTGAATGTCAGATTGTGTAGTTGATGAATTTTCAGAAATTTAAGCACAGTCAACTAGTCTGGTCAGCCATTTTCTCTTTTGTTTTATCCATTTTTGTCCTATTATGTTATAGTGTCTTTCTGTTCTCAATTTCATCAATGTTCATATAGTGCTTCAATTGTTTGCTGTATACACCACCTATTCATAATGCATTTTACAATACTGTACCCACTGTTTGAGTACTCATTTCAAGGGTATGAATGTGTGAATGGCTTTCAAATTTATGAAAACTACATATAACCTTCTTTCCGAGTAGCTACCAAAGGCAACTCTAGAATTTAGATTCACCTCCCTTCTTTCCCTTTATAAGCATGAGCCTCTTAGCAATTGAATCTGCATGCATTTCCCATGTTTTTAGGTCTGCTTTATGAAGTGAAATAACTCTTTACTTCTTATTCCTACTAGTATTCTTCAGGATCATCACTCTCAGTGGCACAATATGTACTCCCGTGAAAGCATGACCGTGGTAGAAGAAATCACATTTCAATAGCTGTTGCAGACTTTAATCTGTTTAGGTGCATAGATGGAAATCGGGAGTAACTATTGAATCATTTTCTTGCAACCATTTTTTAATTTATATCTGGGAAAAGCGACAGTAATTCTAATCAGACCATTCACAATCTCAGTAATTATTGGTAACTATATGAATGATGGGTTGTATATTTTTCTAAACTACTTTATAGTTTGTGAAACTTATGGAACCTTCATCCCTCCAATTAAGCTGAGAATGATAGCTACTTTCTTTAAGGTTTAGATTGTTTTATTAAGGTACTGAAATTGTCATTTTAAGTTTTACAAGAAATTCTCAAGAAGTTCTCAGGTCTTGAAATATGAACACACCTTTGTCAAATATATTGCCATGTCTGGCTGTGCTTGGTAACACTGAACAAAATAGAATGGCATTTTTGCTGCTACAATTTCACTAAAAGTTCATTCAGCCACTAATAGTGTAGTAAATTTTTGTAAATCATATTAGTACTGACAAGACTGAACCTTACAAAAAGCAAGGTGCCAAAGCTGTTAGAGCTTAAAAGCATGTTATCAATAAGTAATTGACTATTATAATTTTGTTTGCAGTTACACAATTACTATTGCTAATACAGAAGCAGTTCATATAAACTATAGAATTATCAGTGCCTTAATGTTATCCTGTATCTGTCAGTCATTTTATTTCTCTGATGATGTAGAGAAATACAGAGTATTTGATTCGAAAATCTATTAAACATTTTTTTTTCTTAAACATTGTTTTTCTTTTAATTTTAAGTACAT